TCCTTGGGTGAGGAAGATTTGCTCTGAGCTAACATCTGTTGCCAATCTTCCTCTTTTTTTTGTTTGTTTGGTGATGAAGATTCGCCCTAAACTAACATCTGTGCCAATCTTCCTCTACTTTGTAGGTGGTTTGCCACCACAACATGGCTTGACTAGTAGTGTAGGTCTGTGCCCAGGATCCGAACCTGTGAACCCAGGCCACTGAAGCAGAGTGAGCCGGACTTAACCACTATGCCACAGGGTCAGCCTCTCTCCCCTCCTTTTTTAAACTCTTTAAAAATGTGAAAACTATTCTTAGCTCACGGGTCACACAAAAATAGACCAACCCCTGCTCTGTTCTGTTCCATTGATCCGTGCCTCTGCTGTCACCACCACCACGCCATCTTGATATGGCAGCTTTATGATAAGTCTTAAAATCAAGTAGGGTGAGTGCTCCAGCTTTATTCCCTGTCTTTCAACTGGTGCTTTTAGATCACTTTCATTTTATGTAATTATCGATATGTTTGGACTTAGTTCTGTCACTGCATTCTCTGTTCTTTTGTTCCTGTTTTCCCTTTCCTGCCTTTCTTTGGGCCATTTGAACATTCTTTGTGGTGTTCCATTTCAGCCTCTCGACGATATCTTTGCGTGCATCCTCGGTATAGTCTGTTTACTGACTGCACTCGGGGCGACCGTGGACATGCTGGACTTTCTCAGTCTACTCAGGCTCCACACTTCACCACTTTAAGAGGATGCTGTGGTCTCACCCCTTGCAGGCCCCTTACCCATCCCCTCCTTCAGGGCACTTCTGCCTTCTGACATCTCTATACATCAAAAGCCCCATCAGACAACGTCATACTTTCTGCGTTCAACTGTTAAACATCTCTTAGTGAACTCGAGGAAGAATGGTCGACTCTATTTACCCACAAACTCACCATTTCTGCAACTCCTCCTCCTGCCTGATGCCCTCAATCTTCTTCTGGGGTCATTTCCTTTCTGCCTGTAGAGCAGACCTGCTGGCAATGAATTCTTTTCATTTTCCTTCACCTGAGAGTGTCTATTTTACCTTCATCTCTAAAAGATGTTTTCATGGATCCGGAGCTCTGGGTCGACAGGTTTTTTTCTTTCAGTATTTTAAAAATATTTCACTTACTTCTGGCCTCCATGGTTTCTGATGAGAAATCTCCAATCCTCTCAGACAACCTCCTATCGTCTTCAAAATCTGAATCAAGTCTTACTTCCTATTTGAGCTATGCTGATTTTACATGTCCCCTCCCTGTCCCCTGCTATAAGCTGACCACTCCTTCCTGTGCATGACATTATTGCACACATCAGTCTGTGCTGTGGTGTCTCAGTCACATGCTGGGCTCACCCACTTGTTCTTTGTCATGTGCACTGAGAGAGAGAGAGGAGAGGGAGAGAGGAGGAGGGGAAGAAGGAGGGGCAAGGGAGGGGGAGGGGGGAAGCGGGGAAGAGGAAGGAAAGGGAGATTAAGAAGAAGTCGAAGACCGATCACCTTTCAGGGAACTTCAGAAGACCTCTGAGTTCAGAGAATGTTTCTGGAATTGAATTAGCAAATGAGGGTCCCCTGCGTGGAAGAAAGCCAGTGTGCAACCACATAGGTGGGCCTTCCACGCCCATCAAGTGGCAGGAAGTTCCAGGTGTTTCAGGAAAAAATTGATGCTGGCTTACAATGTTACCATGGGCTCATTCATGCATTCATCAAGTTGGAAAGTCCTGGATACCACTAGCATCTTTTTCAGCAGCCTTCAAAGCTTGTCCCCAAAGGAAACACTCTTTACTGCTAAGTTTCTGGGACCCAAGGCGGGCCAGGGGAGTGTATTTTGGAAGGGCCCCTCTGAGACCTGTAGCTCCCAGTGACAAGGCAGCTATTGGTTCTACCATGATGCTCTGCCCCAAGGCCCTTGGTGTCTGCTCAGCCCCCAGCCTGTCAGATCACAGCCTTCCTCTTCCTCCTCCCTTCTCTCTCTCTTTCCATCTAGTAAAAACCAAACCAAACCAAACCCACTATCTCTAGGGACAGCCTCAAAGCTCCTGCAGCTTCATCTGTGCTCAGAGTTCTTTGTAGACAGACACCTTTGGACGTGGCCTCACATTCAGACACATTCTGAAAGGGTCACTTACAAGATCCAATTTCTGCCCGTCTCTCACGGTTTTGTTCAGCTCCCCCTCCTCCAGGAAGCCTTCTAGAACCACTCTATTTGGAAAAGAATGAGCAGAACTAATGAAAACTGCGATGGATCCCACGTGCTAGACACAGAGACCAGGTAGATCAGGCATAGCTCCTGCCCTCCAAGAACTCAGCCTCCCGGGGCAGAGAGAAGGAAAGGGTTGAACAGGAAGACGGGCTGTGTCTGTGTTTTTCAGCGTGCTGGGAGCCCGCTGACTTCTGGGATTCCAGGAAGAGAGGCTCTAGTTCTTTCAAAACTTGCTCACAACTTTTCTGGGCCTCAATTCTTTTGGTGTTGAGCAAGATACCTGGTTTTCAGACTCCATTCTGGAGACGCCTGTCTGTGCTGCTTCTGGGCAGCTACAGGGGGGATCGGGGAGTGGAATGTGGAATGTGTGTGGCTCTGGGTCTCCTGCTCCCAAATGCAGCCAGATGAGCTCCACTTTTAATTGTGTCCTTAAAATTGGCTTATAGAGCCAATTTCGTGCGAACAAAAGATTGCATGGCTTTTAAAGTTTGAAAGCCACTAAATTAGATGATGAGGTAGCCAAGCCCAGGGCACTCTGGACTCACAAGGTCTCCACAAAATGGGTTTTGCAGACATATAAACTCGGAAAAGACCTCTGGGCATATCAGGCTATTGGCAACTCACAGTATTTTAGTATGTTATTAGGAATACTGGCAAATGCTTAGCAACCAGCTCTCTGCAGGTGAGAAGGGAGAAGCCCTATTTGTAGTATTTGCTGACTTCCATGATGTAAATCCCCCAAAAGGGGAGATGTCGAGTTATCAAAGTGAAGTCTCTGAATGCAGAGCTGGGAAGAGATGCACGTAATAGGCTCAGGAGCGGGCTTTGGCACATCACTGGTTATGGGGTACCAACTAGTGACCCCGCTGTCTTCCCCTTTTGGGTTTAGAACCAACTAGGATACAGACTTAGGAGACAGAGGCTACAATGTCAGTCTTATTATGATCAAAGCTGGGTTATAGGATGTGGTTGGCTGGATTACGTTCAGATAGAATTATATCTTATAATTGCATAGGAGCAGTGTACTTCTCTCTGCCGTTGAGCTGGGGCTCAGTCACGTGACTTGCTTCCTCTTCCAAGCCTAGGCCTTAAGAGGCCTCCTGTGTTTTTGCTTGGCCTTCTGTACTTGCACCATCACCCTTAGATGTCCAAGCAATGCTCTGGTCCCAAGGGAGGAGGCGCAGAGCAGAACTGAGCTGCCTCAGCATCCCCAGCCCGGCAGGCCCCCCCTCAGCTGACTCGTAGACTCCTGAGCTAAATAAATGTTAATTGTTGTATGCTTCTGGGCTCTTGCGGTTGTTATTAGATGGTATTATTGGGCTATAGTTAACTTATTCAGAAAATGGTACCTGGGATGGGAGGCTGCCCTAATAAAGGCCTAACACATGTAGCATAGGTTTGGAACTGGGCACTGAGGAGATTTACAAGAGGTTGAAACAGGGCAAGAGAAAAGGTGACCCGTGCTATGTGGTGAAGAAATACTTGGTAAAATTATTGCCTATGGTAGTTTGGGAGGGAGAAGATGTACCTAAGAATCTGTGGAATTGGGCAGGCCAGTTTCCAGGCAGAATATTGTAAACACAGGCTTCCTTGCGCTGTAAATGATAAGGTACCACAAGGAAGAGAGGAGTTCAGGAAGGAACCAACCGGTTTACATGCAGGATCCAGAAAATGAAATGATTTCTCATTTCCAGTCCCTCCAACCACTAAAAGATCTTCAAATTAAGATTTGGCCTGGGGCACAAAGACCAAACCCGGGGCTGTGCCAGGGAAACACAGCCTCAGAGTAAAGATGAAATCAAGGATGCACCCTGGATTGCAATGCCCTGTGTCTTAAGGTCTGAAAGGAGTAAGGTGGCTCCAGAACACCCTTCCAGTGACAATTAGCTTTGAGTTTGAATGTCCTCCATGTGGCTTTGGAGGTGGGTGTCAAGGTCTTTCGCATGGAGAGGAGAGAGGGCCCCAGGCTGGGATTTCAGATGTTGAGCATGCCTGGCCCTAGAGAAGGTGACTTCTATGCCCTCCAACTCAGTCCTGGCACACACCACCCCCCTGGCACACACCACCCCCCTGGCACACACCACCCCCCCCCCCCGCCCTGCCCCCCCCCCCCCGCCCCTCCCTACCCCCCCGCTCCGCTGTTTTCCTGTCTCAGTTCCAGAATTTGTCCCAGGCCTCATGCCCTATTCACATGCCCCCCTGAGGTTGACTGCAGGGGCCCAATCTCTGCCAGTGGCCAACTGCTGGCCCACTAGACCCGAGCCCTCCCTATGCAGCTGCCAGGGCTGCCTCCTAGGGCTGAGCCCCTGCTCAAGGCTGCTCCCCACAGGCCGTCTGCCCAAGGCCGGCTGCTGGGTATTCTGGGGCTCCACCTGCTGGCGCTGATTCTCTCCTTTTGCCTGCATCAGAGCACAGGGGTCTGCCCGTCTTCTCCCAACCCCATCCCGACTCAGATGTGCTCACCAGATTGCCTGTCCAGGCGGACTCGGCACAAGGAATGCTTGGGCCGCCGCCTGGATTTGGTATGCATCGTTCTCAGCAAATCAATGAGATGCTCAGACCAGCTCAGCAAAGAACAGCCGGACATTCACTGTGAACATCAAACTGTGCCCGCCCCCAGCCCAGAGAGACAACAAACAGCCAGTAAATGCCTCAGCATTAAACATTTCTTGGTGAAGGCGGGACAGTCAATTTTGACACGGTTGAGAAAAAATACAGCCTAATTTCTGTTCAAATGCACCAAATTTACTGCTCAGGTTCTCATTAACTGCTGTCAAGGAAGAAGTAGACAGACCAAATAAATTATGAAAAAATTACTTTTTTAATGTACAAAAAGACTTATTTACAAGTTGAGCATGTCATCTCAATTCATAGCATGTAGAAAAAGCTAAAAATGTCTGGAATATAAATTTGGCTGGATGGTTCACCCATAGTATTTTCAGGGCTGATGTCTTCTGTACAGACTATATACAGGCTGGGAACGGCCATAGACATCCTAGGTCAGGGATGAATGAGCGCCCTGCAGAGCCGGGACCCCTGGAGGGGCCCAGGGCTGTTACTGGAGTTGGCCTCGTCTTTGGACCATAACAATGAGTTTGACGTTCTGAGAGGCAGAGGGCCCAGGGGAGGCGTGGGCCCTGACCTGGTTGAAGCCAGGGTCATAGTCAGAATCAAGCTCATAGTGGTGCAGTTGGTTTCGGTGAGGCTGCCCCAAATTCGGCACGGAAAGGTGTGTGTGTATGCATGTGTGGTGGGGAAGATGCATCAATTCACCCAACAGCATGTTCAGGAACGATGCCTTCTGATGCTAGTTCCAAATGCCATTTCCAGGTGGGTCTTGGTCACGCTGAACAGGAAAATTCAGTGCTGGTCCCACAGAGTCCCAAGAATCGACCCCCTCACCCTCCCACCCCCACCCACAACACCATGCATGTCATCGTTCTCCATGAAATGCACAGGAGGGCCGAGGAATGGTGTGCAGACGATACCACGACTGCACGTTGTGGCCTGGCACAGACCACTGGGCTGCCGGTGAGAGGACAGCAAGGCCCGGAGGAGCCCGAGCAGAGGCTGCCGTTGAGCCCTGGGGCTTTCCACGGTAGGTGGATAGTGCAGTGGAGAAACAGGACTGGGTAAACAGGCGACTTCCTCCTCCTACTGGGAGACCTCAGGGTGGCCTCAGGAGGGGCCCCGGGTGCACTCTCTTTCCTGAGTCCCCATCCCACGCTTTGGCTCATCTCGGTCCATCCCTAACCCGCAGCAGCTCCAGCAGCCCCGAGGTATTTAGAAGTAAGTGTTTTCGGGAAGGGCTACATTCTACATGCACGGACACAGTAAACACGGTCTGGAGAGGCCAGGGCAGTTCTGGGCTGGCCCCGAGTATTACAATTTTTTCTTTCCTTTTTCTGGCAATAGTTCCATACTTTACTCATCCACATACACTTGGACAGTTTGCCAGTTGCAAACTCAGCTTTGCAGAGTAGAGATGCCAGCTCTACCAACCTTGGAATCAGGATGTGCTTCTGAACCATCCACATAAAATCTCTTTTTCCTCTGTGGCAAGAGACGTTCGAGGCCTCAAGAATTAAGCTTCAGTGAAGAGTTCTGGTGGGCCAGGGATTTCTTGTCCTTGCAGGTACTGGAATGAGAAGCTCCTCTTCCCAGATGAGAATATCCAGTATGGCTTTCAGATTCAAACCCAAATGTGGTTCCTCTACCCTCTTTCCTTGTGTACTTGTAAAGCCCTTGGCCAATGTAATCCCTCATTAGCCAAATGACAGAGGCAAAGCAGCCAGAACAGAGTGGTCCTATAAACACCAAGGCTGGGAAGCACTGTGTAAATGAAGTTTTCATTCCTGCCTTGCTTTTCCTGTCGAGATTTCTTTCAGTGTTCCCCGAAAAATAATCCAAAGGAAGACCAGACAGGATGCACATAAACCCACCCTTAAAGCATTTGTGGTCTGAACCAGCCATTGGCAAACCCCCTCAGACCTATTTAATACTTTTTTGGAAAAAGACGAAATGAACAAAAGCCCTGTGCTCGGGGAAGGGATGGTTCCTCCGGGTCCGCTCAGCACCAGAGGCTGGGGCCCTAGGTCATCATGTTCAGGAACTTGCTCTCCTCGGCCAGGCTGGTGAGCATGGAGCTCATGTCCCCGACCGCCATGTTGCTGATGCCCGTGGGGATGGAGGGCAGAGTCAGGGAATTCCGGGGGGTGGTGAGACGGGAGGAGCTCTGGGAGAGGCTGTGGAGGAGGCTCGGGCTCAGGGCACCCGAGAGCAAGCTTGAGTGATCGCCATCATCCATGATGGCATCAAAATCAATCTGGGGGGCCTCCAGTAGCTGGGAGTCCACGGTGCTGGACACTTGGTTGACCCCTGGTGAGGGCAAGGACTGGGGCGGGACGCTCTCTGGGCAGGCCTGTGGCTGAGGTGGCTGGGGCCTCATGGCCGGGCAGCCTACGTGGTTCTCCAGGCCTCCATTCTGTTCATACATGTGGATCTGGCCATAATAGTACAGCATGCTGTGGTCCTGGGCCCTGCCCGTGTCCTGTGGGGGCGGCTGAGGAGGCAAGGACACCATGGTGCCCATAACTCCTTTGGGCACAGACTCTGCCATCTCCTGGTTGGCCGATATGGCAGCCATGGCGTGGCCAGTGGCCCGGGCATAGGCCAGCTGCTGCCCAGCACGCACCCCACGGTGGCGGCCAGCAGGGTTGGGCTCAGGGGGTGGTCGCGGTTGCACTAGGCCAAAGCTTGATGCAGCCAGCCCCATCGTGCCCTGCTGGGGCTCCATGAAGCCAGGCTGGTGGGAAGGCAGAAGGTTGGGGCCCTGGCTGCAGCCCTCCTGGCTGATGGCGGATGCCAGGTGATGGCTCTGCTGTGGGTAGCTCTGGGCTAGGTGAGGCAGTGGCATCCCAGCCAGAGTGGAATTGGGGACCCCAAGTTCCCTGCGGCTGTTGCCCATCATAGTGGGGTCGGGAGCAACTTCCATCTGCTGGGGAAGCCCCAGGTGGCCTGGCTTGGCTGCCATGTTGCTGCAGGATGAGGGGAACTGGTCCAGGGCCCCACCCATGGTACTGGGGCTCAGCTGCGGGTGGGTTTGGCTGTAGCTGGTGTGGGGGCTCACAGTGGTGGTCATGCTGGGACACGGGCCACCTGTCCCTGGCTGCCTCAGTTGCTGCATATAATTTACCCTGGTGGTAGGGGGAGCTGCACTGCAGGGCTGAAGGTGTGGCTGCGTGCTGTCCAGGCCCCCAGGGCTCAGCTGCAGGCTTTGTGGACTGAAGCCTGGATACTGGCTGAAGGCTGGCTTCTGCTGCACCACCGCCAGGTTGCCCTGTGGAAAGGGGGGCGGCTTCACCTGGCTGGCCAGGGTGTCCATGGTGCCGGAGCTCACCTCGTTCCACTGCACCGGCATGCTGTTTTTGTTCAGGCTGGAGGGGGCCCCATAGCCCAGCTGGCAGCCTCCCAGCACGGGCGCTGAGGGGCCCACGTTAGAGTCGGCAGCCACCATCCTGCGCTGGCCATGCAGCCCGGGGCTGGGCAGTTTGGGGTTCTCGGAGAAGCAGGTGCTTTGTGGGGCATAGACTTGCTGGGTGCTCTCCTCCAGGGTGCCGCCGGCACGAGCCTTGATGTACTGTACCACGTCGTCGGGCAGCACCAGGTCGTCCTCGGGCAGCACGAGGCTGGCCTCTGGCCCTGCGCCGTCGGACCCCGCCGCCATGGCCTCTAGCACCACGTTCTCGCTGATGCTGGGCGGCCGGGGCGAGTAGGCGCCGCAGGCCAGGCTGCTGTCGGCGCCCGCGTGGCCCTGCAGGCGGAGGCCGCGGCGCTCGGCGCAGGGCGGTGGGCCCGGGTGCACGCTGTGTGCGCTGTGGAAGCGCTGCACCCGCGGGGGCGCCAGTGCCTCGGGCCGCCGCCCCGGGTCGCTGGCCCGCCGTGCGCTCCCGCACGGGGCCTCGTGCGGGAAGGTGGGCGCGGGTCCCGCGGGGCCGTATGCCGGCCCGTCGCTGCCCCGCCGCGGTCCCAGCAGGCGCGGCCCGGGGGCCGGGAGCGTGCGCTCGGGAGCGTCCAGCAGCGCCAGGCGGGTCCGCAGGCTTGCGTGCTCGAGGCCGGGCAGCGGCGTTGGGGGCGGCCCGCCGGTGGCCGCCGCGTACTTGGCTCTCAGGCTGTACTGCTGCGCCGGCGTGAGTTGCAGCAGCCCCGCGCCGCCGCCGCTACACTGGCTGGCCTCGCTCGAGCGCCGCGACGCGTCGGTGGAGATGGGGTCGTAGGAGTCGGCCGAGCTGGCGTGGTGGGCGCGGCCGGCGCCCAGGGGCGAGGCCTCACTGGAGCGGCGGCTGGAGAAATAGGGGGAGATGCCGGAGGAGCGGCGGCTCACCGTGTAGGCCGAGCTGACGGTGCTGGTGGAGCTGTCGCGGCGCTCCTGCAGGTGGCTCAGCATAGTCACCTCGCTCGCAGACAGCTCTGACAGCCGCGGGTTGGGCAGCAGCCCCGCCGGCCCGCCGCTGCCGCCAAAGTTTTCCAGGATGGAGCCTGCGGGGAAGGAGAGGGGTCAGCGCGGGAGACAGGGTGCGATGCACTGCCTGCTTTGACCCTAAGAGCCCTCGGCCGGGGCCTGGCACACAGCACGCACTCAACCACTGATTTCTGAATGAAAAAAGGAGGGAAGGAAGGAAAGAATAGCGAGTGAACAAAGGATGGACCTTATTGCTAAGAGTGGGCAAGTGGAAGTCAGGAGGCCTGACCCCCACCTTACCTCTACCACTGCCCGGCTGGCCCTGAATTCTCATGACATTGGGTCCTCAGTTTCTCCAGCTCTAGGTAAAACGTACCTCTCCATAGGGCTGGGTTACTGAGAGGAGGGCCCGGGTGCCCAGCAAGGGCCCTGGGCACAGCCTCCCTGCACCCTCACCATCCGTGGATGGGTGTTGCCAGTCGGGCTCCCTGGAGCTGAGTTTATGAGCAGGCTGCTCATAGGGACCCCTGAGGTCCACACTCAAGGAAGGGAGGAAGAGCGGCAGCCCAGCCAGGGGAAGTGAGCTCCCACCCACGCCTGACGACAGCCTCCGCTGATCTCACAGGGGGCTCTGGGCCTTGAATGGCCTCACACCCTGTGGGGATCAGCATGGGATGGGGGCCACCCCGGGAGGGGTGACCTTGGGTGAGGCAGCTGTCTGCAACCCAGGCCATCTCTGTATGAGGCTGAGAGTTGAAGGCCACTGGCCAGCAGTTCCCTCAACAGCTGGGGCAGCAAACCCTCCCTTCAAGAGAGAGCTGGGTGGTGCATCTCAGCGTCCACCGCAACAGGCCGTTGGGTCCTAGAGGGCAGCCTAATGGCTGAGTGCCCAGATGTGCCTGGTACCCAGCACAGAGTCAGCACTCAGGAAATGCTCCTGAAGACGTTTTCCATCTCAAAGCCTGGCCAACACCTCCTGAGGCTGAGCACAGGGCCGCCGCCTCCATGAAGTCCTCCCTGCTCTTCCCCAGCTGATGTGCTTTCTCCTTCCTCTGCACAGCTCTACCCTGAGCTCTTGTTCTGTGGTTGAGTGTGTCTCTGGTGGCCTCCTACTGTCGGCTCCTCTAACCACAGGGGCCAGGATTATATTGCTGTCCTGCCCAGGACCTTTGCCACAGTGCCCACGGCAGGTGCCTGATACGTGACTGAATGACTGCCAAGGAAGAGGATGATGTGAGCGAGATCAGCTGATGGGGACGCAGCATGGTGTAGTTGAAAGAGCATGGGCTTTGGGGCCACTCAGGCCTGCGCTAAGTCTCAGCTCTCACTGGTCTGAGGTGGCACTTTTGCGTCCGAGCCTTGATTTCCTTATCTGTGCAATGGCTGGTGAGATCTGTCCTACTGTGGGGATCCAGGGAGACGTACTGTGCTCGTTGGAGGTGAACCTGGTGGGCGCTGCCCCAGGCTCTCTCTCACCCCTGCCCACATGCCCAAGGCCTCAACTCACCACTTCCCGGGAGGGGAGGCAGCTTGGTGTTCCGGGCATGTGGAGCCGGCCCAGCCCATGAGCAGGAGTCCTTGAGTGACTTGAGCTTCTCCTTCTTGAGCTGCTCGAACCGGTGCATGGCGGCCATATGTTTGCGCAGCTGCAGGCCACCCGCGGAGGGAGTGGCCAGGGCTGAGGCGTCGGCCCCTGGGGGCGTGTCATCCAGAGCTGTCAGGTCTCCCAGGCTCCCAGGCCCTGTCCCCGGCATCTCCACGCCACTGTCATTGTTGGGGGCACTGCCCAGGGGAGAGGGCTCGCTGCTGCAGGACGACTGGGCCCCGGGGCTGGACTGACACAGCTGCAGGGGGCGTGGTGAGAAGGCACAGCCTCAGAGGGTGCAAGAACCCACCTGGCCCTACACCCATGCCTGCACACACACCGCATCCTTGCACACCCAGGGGCAGGAAGGAAGCTGCCACGAGGAGGTGCTTTCGAAGCATCGCTTCTTTGAAGCTTGGCTTCCCTGAACTGCCTCTGGGACAGGGTTAGTGGAGAGATGGAAAGCATCTGGCACACAAAAGGCACCCAGTGACTGTCAGCCCTCATCCCCGGTGCTCCTAAGCTCCCCCAGTGGGGGTCTGGCCAGAGCTCTGCCTGTTGAGCTTTGCGTATGTGGACACTCTGAAGCTGTGCCCCGTGGAGGCTGCCACAGCCGCATGAAGTTGACATGAATGGGAGAATTAAGCATTCCCAAAAGAGCGATGTGCTGCACGACGAAGCAGGGAACGCTGAGAGGCTGCGAATGTGGGGTCTTCTCAACAGACCAGAGACAGGCTGTTGGAAGGGAAAGGATGACCCAGGAGGGCAGAACTGCTGAATGATGACCCCAAACCAGCCCTCCCTCTGGGTCGGGGTGGAGTCGCGCAGAGAGCCCGTGGTGCATGTGTACAGAGCAGGGCTCCACAGAACCTGGGCTACCTTCACTGTGACCTGGGGTTTGAGCCCAAATGAGGCTCACCTCATTGGGTGGAGCAGACGTGGCACCCCTGGGCTCATTCCTAGGCTGAAAGCCCCAAATTCAGGACCTCTCCTGGGGAAGCTGCAGTGCTCCCTCCTGCCCGTGGCACCACCCACATTCCCCCTCTTGGCGCTCAAGGCCCCCTGTAGGTTGGTCCTGCTCTCCTCTGCAGCCTGAACTCGCACCTCCACAGCCCTGTCCCTCCTGCAGGCTCGGACCCCACCGCTCACTCCTGCACCTGCCGGCTTGGCTCCTGCTGCCAGCCTTTACCTGCTCCGATGCTCCCACCTGCAGTGCCTGCCGTCTACCTATCCAAACCGACCTGCCCGGGCCCAGGAGGGGCCTGGCCTGACAGGTCAGTGTCCGCCCAGGCAGCCCAGCCCACCCTTGCACAGGCCAGCCCGCCCTCACCGCCCCGGCTTCTCCGCTCACCTCAGTACCGTCTATCCTTAGGGGAGGTACAGTCGGGAGAAAGAGGCGGAGACAAAGAACAGGTGGTTAGAACAAAAGGAGTGGAGGCCAGAGGGGCGAGGACGCAGAGACAGGACAGAGGGAGGGGCCGGCTGCGGCACTCGGCTGCTAGTTGGAAAGGCAGATGCCAGGGACCACCCCCGCCCCCTTGCAGACTGACCACATGGTGAGGCGGGCATTCCCATCGCCCACAGCTTGCCCAGCAGAATGGGACCTGGCACAAGACAGGTTCTGTGTGAAGCTCAAGGGGGTGAAAGGAGGAAAGTTGAGCTGGAGAGGAGGGACATTATCATGTGCTTAGAGGGGGGAGCCCGGGGCGCAGCCCACAGCTGTAGTTGGGGCTCTGGGCCCCCGAGGGCCCTCGTGCCAGCTGGGCTTGGCCTCCTGGGAGCCGGAGGGCATGGATGGGGCCTCTGCTGCCCAGCTCTGCTTACCCCGGAGCTCTCCGTCTTGATGGCTTTGACGTGCAGGCAGTCCTCCACAGCCTGGCTGGTGCTGCTGGCCTCGGCACTCTCCTCAGAGCCCTGGCCACCAGGCTCAGCGCTGGCCTCAGTGTCCCCATTCTCCTTGAGCAGGGGGGCGCGGAGGTGCACGTCATTGCGTTGCTTCTTGGTGACATGGGCATCTGGGCCGTGGACCGTTTTCACATGCTTCCGGAGAGAGCTGGGGTCCGTGTATCGCTTGGTGCAGCCTGGGATCTTGCAAATGTAGGGTTTCTGGGAAGAGAAGCAGGCCTGCATCATGGACGGGATACGAAGACAGCCTCTGAAGGGGGCACTGCCCATTCTCTTGCAGCCATGCCCGACGCTCTGGTAGAGCCTGGCCGGCACAGCGGGGAGGTGCTCGACCTATTTGCAGCCAGTGCCCTCTGGATGGAGCCGCTCCCCCCCCCCGAGGCCTGCAGGAGCCCAGCCCTGCCCCGCCTGCCTGCCACCTTCCCCTGAAGGTAAGCATGTGGTCCAGGAACTCCCGCCACAAGCTGGGGACATGGATCAGACACTGTGGAGGGATGAGGGACAGAGTCTGGTGTGGTCACTGTGCTGCCTCCCCTGTAACGAGGGCGCTGGGATTTTTATATCAGAAGCAAGTGTATGATCTCTTTAAACCTGTGAGACAGCGCTAGGACTCTCTGCCGAAGACAGGTTCAGAGAGGCAAAGATACGGGCTCAAAGTCACCCAGAAAACCCAGGCTTTCTGAACCTCAGTCCTGAGCTGAAACACACACACACTCACATCCACATACAGACACACACCCTGAAACCCACATACATACATGCACACACATGTATACACACATGCTCACACAGCTACGTGCACACTCACATGCATACACACACTTCCACTGACACACACTCAGTATATACACAGATACACATGTGCAGATACACATGTACAGGCACACTCATATACACACACACAAATATGCATGCACACACCCACATGATATATCCACATGTACATGCACACCCACATACATACACATACTGATACACACCCACACACGTGCATACACATAATTGCTAATACACATACATACACCTCTCCAAGGCTAGCTCTTGTCTGTAGAGACTATGGGCTGCATATACATTTGGGAAATCCTCTAATTTCTTATAAGCCTTGGAGCAAGTCCCTTTGGGTCTAAAATGTAAGCTTTTAGAAACCTTCTTTCCTGAGCCTACCTGACTGACAGCAATTGAGTGGCTGGGTTGGGACCAGGACAGCAGACAGCACAGGCTCCCGCCCGACTTCCCTCCCTGGGCTCTCTCAGCCCTGCTGGGGGTTCTGGCTCTCTGGGGAGACAAAGGCTGCTCTGTGCCCCATCAGCGGGGGGGCTGACAGCTACGCCAGGCCCAGGTAGCACTGGTGGCTAGAGCATGTCATTGCCAGCTGCCCAGGCCACAGGGGCAGGGGCCTGCTGATGCGTCCTGAGCTCAGACAGCCAGTCGTTGTCGGGGGGGCGGGGAGTGGGACCTGGCACCTGGCTACCGAATGGCCTACAGATGTCGAGAAGCCATGGGGTGATGCATTCATGCACGTGTCAGCAGGGCCCCTGCACAAGCCTGGTGCACCCCCAGCCGAGGTACCTCATTGGAGTGGGTGCGGTTCTGGTGCTTGGCACGGTCTGAGGCATTGGAGAAGGCCTTGTTGCAACCCTCGTGCTCACACACATACGGCTTTTCCCCAGTGTGGGACCGCAGGTGTGTCTTCAGGTTCTCCAGGCGAGAGTAGGCCTTCGAGCAGCCCTCGAACTGGGGAGAGGTGGGTTCGGTCAGTGAGGGCTCCTGGATCCAACACAGGGAGCCTGCCTCCTCCCCAGACCCCTCCTCCACTCCACCCCAACGGTGCGCACAGGAGTCTGTATTTTAACATTGACATTTACCTTCCTTTCTGATTATAAAACTGACATATGGCAATTCTAGAAAACTTGGAAAGGACTGAAAAGTACAAAGAAGGAAATGAAAACCATTGGCTGCCCACGGACAGCCACTGCTGACATCCAGGCAGGTCTCCTCCTGGTGGCTTTGCATTTCACCCCCACACGATTTTTTAAACCCAAATTGCGAAGATAGCAATTATTTAGGTATGTATTCTGCTTGTTAAAGTTAACAGCACATTGTGAGAATCTTCCCATATCATTAAAAACTCTTAGAAAATATTATCTTTAACTGTTTCCCAATGCCACACCCTGATTAGAACTTTCCTGTGTATTAACATGGGCTGAGAGGAAAATCGAGAGACCTCCACGTCCTTGAGTGAGCTGGCCACCCTCACCCTCGCTCTGGCCATGCTGGTCTCCTTTCAGTCTTTTGACTCCACTCAGTTCTTCCCGGCAAGGGACCTTTGCACACACAGTCCTCTCTGGCTGGAACCTCGCCCCTGTCCCCACCCCGGCCCTGACCTGGCTCCCTCTCTCAGTCTTTTAGGTCATCTGTTCTGAGAGCATTTCTCTGATATTCTTAATCATAACACTCCACCCTTTTTCATTTATACTCCCTAACACAATTGGTGATGAGCTTAACCATGTTGTCATCTGGCCTTCCCACTAGGATATACGCTCCATGAGAGCAGGTACCTTCTAAGCCTCGTTCATTTCTGTGTTTCTATCATTTAGTGCCTGAGAAAAAGAAACATTTTCAGCACTCAAGAAACATTTTTGGGAAGGAAGGAAGGAAGAAAGGAGGGAGCAAGAGAGAGAGGCAGGGAGGGTAGAAGGAAGGAAGGGTCATTGCAGGAAGCTGCACCTCTTCCAAAGATACTGCAGGTGCACCCACTATCTGTGAAAATGGCCCTCAGGAGGCTATGGAGACCCAGCAGGAGCTGGCTCACTCGTCACATCCTCCCCTCTATTCCTGAACGATCTGACTGAGCGCACTTGGATCCAAATGCCTTTATCTGTTTCCACCATGTACAGCCCATATCAGAGAGCTAGGGTTGCTACCACTCGCTCGGAGGGCTATGTTCAGAACTTGCTGCAAAGGACCAAGGGAGCCAAAACAATCTTGAAGGACAAATTTGGAGGCCTGACACTTGCCAATTTCAAAACTTACTACAAAACCACAATAATCAAGACTGTGTGTGGTACTCCCATGAGGGCAGACGTAGAGATCAATGGAACAGAACTGAGAGTTCAGAATTAAACTTGTACATGAAGGGTCAACTGATTTTGGATAAAGAGGCCAAGACGATTTGGTGGGAGAAAGAGCAGTTTCTTCAACAAGGGGATTGAGAGAACTGCATAACCACAGGCAAAAGAATGAAGTTGGCCCTTACCTCACACCATAGATGAAAATGAACTCAAAATAGATCAAAGACCTAAATGCAGGAGCTACCCTATAAAATTATATACGTATTTTATATTTACATAAATAGAACTATGTATTTGCAAACTATAAAAAACTCTCTGAAGAGGGGCTGGCCCAGTGGCGCAGCAGTTAGGTACACACATTCTGCTTCGGCGGCCTGGGGTTCACCGGTCCGGATCCCAGGTGCAGACATGGCACTGCTTGGCACGCCATGCTGTGGTAGGCGTCCCACATATAAAGTAGAGGAAGATGGGCATGGATATTAGCTCAGGGCCAATCTTCCTCAGCAAAAAGAGGAGGATTGGTGGCAGATGTTAGCTCAGGGCTAATCTTCCTCAAAAAAAAAAAAAAAAAACAAACAAGTCTCTGAAGAAAACATAGGGGTAAATCTTTGTGACCTTGGATTAGGCAATGGTTTCTTACATAGGACACCACAAGTACAAGCAATTAAAAAATTGGACTTCACCAAAATTAAAAACTTTTGTGCTTCAAAGGAAACCATCAAGAAAATGAAAAGACAACCCACAGAATAGGAGAAAACATTTGCAAACCATATATTTGATAAGGGTCTAGTAAAACTATTAAAATTCAACAATAAAATAACTAATAACTCAAAAAATGGGCAAAAGATTTGAGCAGACAGTTCTCCAAAGATTACAAATGGCCAATAAGCACATGAAAAGATGCTCAGCATCATCAGTCATTAGGGAAATGCTAGTCAAAACCATAATGAGACGCCACTTCACACCCACTAGGATGACTATAGTCGAAAGATAGTAACACGTGTTGGTGAGGATGTGGAGAAACTGGAACCCTCACACCTTGCTGGGGGGAATGCAGAATGTGCTGACTTTTGGGAAAACAGTCTGGCAGGTCCTCAAAAGTTAAATAGAGAGTTGCCATATGACCCAGCAATTCCACTCCTAGGTATATACATAAGAGAATTGAAGACACATGTCCACACAGGATGTACCTGAATGTTCACAGCAGCATTATTCATAATAGCCAAAAAGTGAAGACAATGCAAATATCTGTCAACTGATGATGGATAAAAGCCCCATGTGCTGGCCATACAATGGAGTATCATTTAGCCATAAAAAGAAAGGAAGTGCTGATATGTGCTACAACATGCATGAATCTTGCAAACATGCTAAGTGAACAAAGCCGGGCACATTGTAGATTCCATTTTCATGAACTGACCAGAACAAGCAAATTCCTAGAGAGAGGAAGCAGACCAGTGGTTGTCAGGGGCTGGGGAGAGGGGAGAACGGGAGGGGACTGCTAACAAACACAGGGTTTCTTTTTGGGGTGAGGAAGGTGTTCCTGAATTAGCTAGTGGTGATGGCTGCACGACTTTGTGGACATACTAAAAATCACTGAACCGTGCATTTTTTACAAAGGGCAACTTGATGGTATGTGAATTTTATCTCAATTAAAAAAATAATGAAAGTTAGCATATTTCATTGAATCCTGGACACCACCGATTTTAAGGCAGCTTGATTTCAGAGATATTAAAACGAGAACAAAATATATGTCTTGGAATCTATGAAGGATGGTAAGTCACAAAGAGGCGTTCCCAGACGCTTCAGCTGCGGCCCCACCACTGCATCACTGGACCACAGCCCCTTGAAGAGGGAGCAATTCTCTGTGCTAAAGGCTCACCAATTACACTCACAAATCCTGTGGCCTCCATAAGGCAGACTTTCCAGAAGGTCTCATCTTTGTGTTCACTTTTTTTTTAGCTTAACCAACGTGATTTTTAACCCATCATTGCTCACGCTGTGAAGCACTATGAATCTGTCCTCTCTGTAGAGGACACAGACCATAGAGTGCTTCCGAGCTCGGGGTTATCCAGCCAAGTGAGCTGTGGGGGTATAGCTGTGCCTCGGGGCCCACGGTCACGCAGACACAACCACAGGGACACCGGCACACACCCCCACCGCAGTTACAAGATGCACGCCCCCTGAGAAAGAGTAAATCAAAGGTCTGGGGCAGCAGGCAGTGAGGGGTCTCAAGGACCCGAGACAGGCAGAAGGCCCTCAGGGAGGCACAGACGCTGCAGTGAGGAAGGACTGTGCCCGGGCGCCACTCACCGTGCACTTGTGGGGCTTCTCGCCCGTGTGCCGGCGCATGTGCACCACCAGCATGTACTGCGCCTTGAAGGGCTTCTGCTCCCGCGTGCAGGCCTGCCAGCGGCACACGAACTCCTTCTTCTCCCCGTGGATGTGTTCGTTGTTGATGTGCTGTCGGGAACAAGCCATGGAGCGGGGTGAGCCCAGCCACCCAACACCCAGGTCCCACCTAGGATGTGCAGACCACCCACTCCACAGACCACCCCCACCTACTATGTGCACACCCCCACCTACTATGTGCACACCACCCACCCAACAAGACCACCACCGACATGCCAGGCCACACCTCATGAGTTAGCCTTAGCTGCCATTAAATGAAGATGTACTGCGTGTGACTTGTCTCGGCTGCATTTTCCAGTTAGTCATCAAAGGGACCATCAACGATGGTCAAGGGCATCCTGCTCATGCCAGGCCGGGCTCCAGGCTCTGGTCTATGGGGAATTAGTGGTTACGACGATGCTCCCGGGCTGCAAACAGTAGGCACTAATTAACTGCAGCGAGGCAGACGTGCACACAGTGGGTACATGAGAAGCCTCTCCTGAGCTTGCCTCCATTGTTCTAGAGATTCTTAAATAAAATTTTATTACAATGGGAACATAAATGCATCCTCATCTCTATGTTTGACAGTAACCCATGGGATGATGGCTTTGTCTCCTTTTCACAAAGGCCAAAATTGTTAAGTTTCCCACCCAGGACCCGGGCGATGAGTGTGGGTAGAGCTAGATTCTGACCCTGACACTGGGCTCTGGGCACAGTGTGACGCTGCCCCGGGACAAACGGCCCAGGAGAGTCAGGCAGGACAGCCAGAGACAGTGCACCCGAGCCTGCAGCACGGCCTTCTCAGGGCGGCGGGCGTCTCGGGCAAAGCTGGGCAGCGCACAGCGAGAGGGCTTCCCTGGAGGAGCGGTCCTCAGACCCACCCCGCCAGCACCGCCCTGGGCCAGGAGGGTGGGCTCACTTTTCTTGATTTCCGCAGTCCTGCACCCACACCTTCTGGCCTCTGCCCCGGGACCATCACCCGTGTGCCCCCGGGGTAGTTTCTCCTGTGATGTGGAGCAGTGGGCCACCGAGGCTTTCCATCACCCGTGACAGAGCAAGCTGCCCTGGGCGGCCATTCTGGATGTCAGTCACTTGCTTTGATGATTTAAGTGAAGGCTGCAGTCCTCACTGGAGCAGGGATATTACTGCCTCTGCGCTTGGGATGTGCTACTATGTGTGTGGGGCCTCAGCACCTTTGTGACCCATAATCCTTTGGGCTGCTTATTTATCTGGAGAATGGGAACAGGTGGTATTAGTCACTCACGTGGTAGCGTGAATAAGTATACTGCTCCTCCTGCTTCCGCTCCCACTGGGGCTTCTCTCTAAAGGCCACCAGGAGCCTCCTTGAGCCCATCAAGGTCGCTTCCCTGTCCTGCCTGAATTGGGGGTCAGGCTGGGCTTGCTTCCCCGCAGGGAGCTGGGGAGGGTGGAACACTCAGGTCTTGGAGGCCCCGCTCTCTCCCTGCTCCAGCCTCATTCCGTCTTCTCTCTGTTCTCAGTTCCCTCTCCCAGCCATCACTTCCTCCCACCCACCCCTCCCACAACCTCCGGACCCCCACAGTCCAATGCAGCAGCCACTCGCCACTTGAGTCTCTTGAACCCTTGAAATGTGGCTGCTCCCAACTGGGATGGGCTGTAAGTGTGAACTACACACCTATTTCAAAGACTGAGAGTGAAAAAAAGGGATGTAACGTATCTCAACAATTTTGTTTTATATGATTACATGTCAAAATGATAATATTTTAGATATATTGGGTTAAATACAATATATTATTGCAATTCATTTCATCTGTTTCCTTTGACTCTTGTTTTTGTGTGTTCCTATGTATAAGAAAATTCCATGCACGGCTGGCGTTTGTGGTTTGTGGGTCTTTCTCCCAGGCAGTGCCCCTGTAGATCTTTGCAACCTACACTGCTGTCCATGAGCTGGGCATTGGGGCACTGGCAGCCCGCACCCTGTAGGACAGGAAGCCGCGGCCTCACGCCCCGAGTATCAGGCCCAACTGTCATGCATACAAATGCCAACGCTGGAGCAAGTAACATCTACAGCGCTTTGAACTTCCAGGGAAATCTTATCATATTAGCCTCACTCTCCATTTTTAAAGTCTTTCAAATGAAAGAAATGCACCCTGACAATGCCTTTCATTTTTGTCTCACTGGTTTACTTAGCAACAAATTGTTAATAATCGACTGGGGGCTCCCATTCGCCCGTGTGCTGCCACCATCCATCTTCTCAGGGAGCAGAGAGAAAGACAGAGCTGGGCAGAGGGGAGGCTCCCCTCTCTCACAGGAGCCCACTCTTTCCAGGGCCAGGTGGAGGTGACCACCCATGGCCACAGGGACAGTCCTGGGCACAGGTGGGAGCCTGCAGCTGAAGCCCTCCTCCCCAGGTCTGGACCCCTCTGCCTTTCCTTGGGGAATTTCCTCCCTGCTCTTTGGGGCCGACCCACTCATCACTGAGCTCATCTTTCACCTTTTCACCTCCTCGTCTCCCCCCTTTGCCTGGGCCCTCTCCCGGCCTCAGAGGCTGTGCCCTTTCTCCTCCTTTAGTCTGATCCCATCCGTCCTACGACTCACAGCTCCAGCGGGCCCTTCTCCATCTCAGACTTGTTCCCCCAAACAGGTGGCACAGGTTGAAAAATTATGTTCAAGTTCCAGAAGGGATTAGATAAGACCCTGCTTCACAGGTCCTATGTCAGCTGTTATGGGTTTGCTGGGAAATTCTGGTCTTCTGCTGAGAATTTGGGGAGAAAAACACAAACACAAGAGAAACCTACAGTATTTGAGAGCAAGTCACAAGAATGGAGGAAGCAGAGGGAGGGGGCGGTGTTCTAAATGCTGAGTTCACAGAGCTGGGGAGCAGCAACTCCTTCTGGATGGCTTCTGGGTGTGAACTGTGTGTGAGTGTGTGTGTGTGTGCGTGTCTGTGTATCTCCTCTACTACTCTACCCAGCAAGTGAGCTGCTAGTTAAGTGGGGCTTCATCTTTACATATACTCATTCACCAAGTATGTGTTGGGACGGGGGGCTTTTCTAGATGGAGAAGAGAGCTGCTCAGGGCTGGGGGGGGAACAGGGAGGAGGAGGCAGGAGGGAGCTCCCACGGACGGAATGCTGCCATCTAAGTATTGACGTGTGGGATCATCCTCAGTCTCCACCAGCTGCAGGGTAGGCCTCACCTCCCGGCACAGGGGAGGAAACTGAGGCTCACGGAGGTTTTAAGTCACTAGCTCAGAACCACTCGGCAAGCTGTGGGGGAGCCAAGTTGGAAGCCAGGAGCCTCCCGTGCTGAGCCCCTGCTCCCCCCACTGCACAAATTAGCCCCCGACTGCCACCCTAATGGATGATGCTGTATAAGGGTTTAGAGGGTGGACCAAGAGGCATACCCTGAAGACCACACCTAGCTCTGTGGTCTTCTCTGGTCTCCTGATCTGTCAGTACCCAGGAGCCCCCTCTTTGATACAGGTGTAAACACCTTTTGGCACCTGTGTATACTGGGTCTCTGTGAATGGTCTCCAAGAGGAAATGACCAACTCTTTCCTATTGGGAGAAACTTCTTTCAGGTTCGGGTTTGATATTATCTTTGGATGCTGGCTGGTTTAACTCATCTTATTTCCCTCTTTGCATTGGTTGCTAGGAAGCTCAGAAAAAAAGATTTATATGTGAACCATAGCTCAGGGCCCTTGGTTTTTCATACAAACTTGACTCTTGGCTTGATTTTCTTGTTCCTTTCCCCCTAGTTTTCTCATTTACTTAATTTTCTTTCAATCTCTCGTATTGGTAACCCCCCTTTTAGAAACAAGCAGTGCACAGATACATAATCATGCCTTCCACGTGTAAAAGATGTGGCCCCAGCACCTCCTGGAGCCTCATCCTCCAGCCCCTTCTCTCCGACATAGGGCTTGGAAGGCGCAAGGCCCTGTGTGGCCTGGCTCTATCCACGGTGGGCAGGTGGCCGGGGCTCGACGCTTACATGCACCAGCTGCTCCTGCGTGTCGTACTCCCTGCTGCAGTCTTCCCAGTGACAGCTCGTCTCGTAGACGACCACCTCGGCCTCCTGCTTACAGTCATCCCTGTCCAGGTCGTCCTTGAGGTCAGCCAGCTGCTCCTGCGGGGGGCAGAGCACACCCACGTGAGCCACATCCAGACACCTGGCCCCGAGGAAATGTCGCTATTAGCCCCCTGAGGTCTGTGAAAATACGCTGGGCTCGTACAGGTGTGGACACACACACACACATGTACACACACCCCCGCTCGCCAGCGGTCTCAGCCCCCTTCCTCAATTCGGCTCCCAGCCATCGCTCTTCCTGTCACACAGCCGTCCTGGGGACCCTCCCGCCTCTCTAACGTGTCCCGTCACATCCTGGGTCAACTGACATGGCCAGAACAGGAGAAAGGAGGGCAGGGACTTTTGCTTATGTGGTTTGGTTTGCTCTGGGGGGAGCAGTGTGGCCCCACAGACTCAGGGGTGAGGGCATTTTTATTTATAGGGTGTCCGGGGTCTGCTCCTGCCTGGAGGCAAGAGAAAACCTGACAAGGCCCTGGCTTGGCCCTTCAGATCTCTCTCATACTGTCCCTTCCTCCCAGGGGGACACAGCGCGCCTGGCTTCACACCCAGGAGAGTGCTGAGGATGCTAAAGGCCCTGCAGAGGCTCCCAGCATCACGCCCCCCTGCAGTGGCCCTCAAAGGAGGGCGTTTGTATTCTCATCTCACAGCAGGGAAAACAGGGAGCAGTCGACTCGCCCTCCCCAGAACGCAGAGTGAGCTTGTGGCAGCCTGGATCTGGGCTCGAGTCTCCTGACCATGACGGGGCCCACATGCACCCATTTCAAGGAAGCCCAGGAAAGACCCCGGAGGTAGTCTCTACCCGACCACAGGTGCCTGAAATCCCTTTCAAAGAGGACACAGACTCTTAATCCCAAACTAGCAGAGACTAAGAAAAAAACCCATGGAGCTGCCCCACCCCAGCTGATGCTAACGCAGAACCGGCCACGGGCAGCCTCTGAGCAGGGGACATGAGGACAGGCTGGGAGGTACCAGGAGCTGGGGCAAGGGAGAGGCACAGGTGCCCCAGGTTGGGAGGAATGCCCAGCGAGGACCTCCAGAGAATGTCAGGGGCTCCCCAGTATTCCACGGGCCTGCTAGGCAGACGGGGAGCAAAGCTGAGCCAAGAGGCAGATGTCAGAATGACTTGCTTTACATTTCAAACTACCTACCAAACAGCAGGAAAGTTCTGTCCTTCAAAAGAGCCTCTGGGGGAAGCATTTATTGTGAAAGGGGGACAACCTCTCCCCACAGTGAAGAGCCCCAGCGCCCACAATCTCTGAGACTCAGAGACGCGGAGGCTGCGGCTCCCACATCGGCCTCACTCCTAACGCTGAGTCCATCTCTAGGAGCGCAGAAATCGGCCTCCCGTCTCCCCACGGCCGGCTGCAGACTCACAGCCCTGACCACTTCCCATTGGAGCTGCAAAGGGCTCCTCCAGGAGGGGCTTCTGGCTGTTGATCAGAGTACTTTTCTATTAACCACGTGTTCCGAAAAGGAAAATGATGACATCTGCGAACCAAGGCCACAGGCAGCACGGGGTCACATTAAAAGGAAGGGGCCAGAGTGCTCTGCCCTGAAGCTTTAGCAATGGGAGATCTGGGGGACCGGGGGCCTCCTAATGCCCACTCTGCACTTTCAGAAAAACTGGAGCTAGACTTATTTCCATAAGCTGCATGCTCTGTTTATTTCAAAGAAGACTGGAAGAAGCTGCCACATTGACGTGTGAGAGGAGGATGGCACAGAGGCGGTGGGCACACGTGGGCCTCCAGACGGAGCCAGGCATCATCGCTACCCACGATTTTCAGAGCTTAAGCAGAGACAGGATTCATTACACTGCATTTTCTGCCAAAGGAAAGCACGGCCATCCACCCTGCAAATGAGTCAGGGAGCAAGTGAGTCAGGTCACTGAATCAGGACACTGAGTGACACGGTGACAACCTCCTCATGATAAACAGCTTTCCTTCCACTGACACGAGTGAGGAGCCAAGCTGGGCACGAAGAAGGGCTGTGTGTGGCCCCTTTGGGCTGGAGGGGATGGGCCAGGGGGCCTGCAGGTGCTCAGCGCCGGCCTCCCCTCCCTGTCCTTGCTGCCCCCACATGCTTATCTCCCCTGGCTGTGCGCCCTTCTCATCCATTTCCACAGCCCTCAACGATGGCCGGCCTCCTCGAGAGCATGCATCATGCTGAGATGCTTTGGTGTCAGGGAGGGGAGAGGAATTTGTCACCAGCCCTCTGTTTGCCTGACAATAACAGGACCCAATATTTCATAAAAATTAAGTGCCTAGAGCATGCCCGATGGTTTACAGGTTTGATAAAGGATGGTCCGGCAGATGTAGGGGAGACGGGGACAGGAGGCCCCGAGCATCCTTGGTGTCAAAGCTGGTGATTCCATAGTAACAGATGGGGCCCAGAGAGAGGCGGGAGGCTTGCCTGCAAGGTCGGCACTCACACTGCGCCCTTCCCATGACAGGCCTCTGCTCCAACAGCTGGGACTGCCTGCCTGCAATCTGCAGTGTGGAATAAGCGGCAGGATGGCGAAAGGGACCTGCATAAGGGCCTCAGCCCCGCAACAGACCCACCCCAGGATCTGGGCTGCTCCGCCCCTCGCCTTCCTGCCAGGAATCATCTCCCCTTCCCTCCCTTCCCACACCACTCACTCCCTCAAATGCATCGAGTCATAAGAAAAGACTATTTCACAGCTACTGAGCACCAGGCCCCACGCAAACCCTGGCGATGTGGAGCCAAGTCAGGCACTTGTCCCAAACTCCACCTCTCCAAAGCTTACGGCGCAGTGCTGGAGACAGACCCACTGACCCAGAGGCTAGGAGGGGTGTCTGGGCGAATGTGAGCCCTATTATCCAGGAGGGTCAGGCAAGGCTGGAGTGGCGGCAAAGGGGACAAAGCGGGGGATGAAGTTCCAGGGAGAGAGGGCAGCTGGACAGGGGCCTGAGCCATTTGGAGACGGGAGCAACTCAGTTTGTCCGGGGCTTGTGCTGCGTGAGGGTGAGGAATGGGGCGAGAGACGGTGCAGCCCCAGACACTCACTCATTCAGCAGGTGTCTGATGAGCAGGTAGCAGGTGCAGGCTGTTGGGGACCCAGCTCTGGTCCTCCCGGAGCTCCCAGTGCACCCACCCTGCCCTCTCTAGTTCACTCATTTGCTCATTCATGCAGGCAGCCACCTACTCAGCCATTCGCCAACAGCGTTGCCGCCCCAAGTCAGCTGACCCAGAGGAGACAAGGCCTGGCCCAGCCCGAGGCCACCAGCACAGCCAGCGGGTTACCTGCGTCAGGGTCAACGGGGAGGCTGGTCGCAGGCCCTCGGCTTCCGTCTTGACCTTGCTGCGCTTGTGAATGACGATGGGGTTGACGGTGCTGCTCACGGCTGACTCGCTGCTTGGCTTGTTCTGAGGGAGGGTGAACAGGGGAGCCCGTCACACAGGGGCAGGGTGGGGACACCTCAAATTCTGTCTGGGCTTTACCTTTGGGACCCTCCCCACACAGACCATCTGGGCCAACCCTGTGGTTTGAAGTTTCAGAAACCAAGTGCCCCCAGCTCAGTCCTTTGGCCAGGGGCACGGCCAGGAGAGGGCCCAGAGCTCAGCCTGCCAGCACCTGCCTCCCCACCATGCAGCCCCACCTCCACTCCCATGACTTGAGGGAAATGGAACAGAGACCCTCTCTTTGGGAAGTGCTGGGTGCCCTCGTTCCTGTCCCAACAGCCTCAACTTCTTGGCCCTCCAGAGCAGGGGCGGCTCTGGGTCTGAGGAGAACAGGACCAGCCGGCCCAGGGAGCAGGTGAGGAGAGCCTGGAGCTGCAGTGTCAGGCAATGTGACAACAGCCGACAGCCACTGTCTGGAGAGAGGTGCCAGGTGACTGCCTGGAGCCCTGAGCTGGAGGGAGAGGATGTCCTGGAAGAGGGCTGCTTCCAGACTGTGTGGTGTCTTGTCTTCCTCACCGGCACGTGCTCACATCCAGGTCTGCCTTGCCAGGTAGGTGGCCCAGGGGTTGCTTCACCTCAAGAACTGTCATTGTGAGTGCTAACAGGTTCCGCGTTGACCTGGGGCTCTGTGCTCACAGAAGCTCAAGTACATGCACGATGACCCCATGCAGGTGGCAGGCCCCCCTTTTCAGACTCAGGCCGAGAGGTAAAGAGACTTGCCGCTTTCAGGAAAGTCAGGGTCAAAAACATGGTCTAACTGATTCCAAAGCCTGTGCCCTTTCCTCTTTCTGGTACTGGCTCTCTAACTCCACTTCCTCATCTGCAAAACAGGACTTGACTCGCTCACCACATACTGATGGCACCCAGTGTGTGCCAGGCACTGGGCAGGCATGCCCACACATGTCAAGGACCTGTTGGAAAGGTCAAATAAGAGGGCCTTTGGTAAACTCAGGCTCTAAAACTAAATTGCACAGTATTATTTATTATCCATTAATCCATTTCAAATGCTGTGCACGGACTGCCTACACTATGCCAGATTCCATGAATTCTGGGGTTTCTCTAACTACTTGTTACATTCACTGGATGGGAAATGGCAGAACTGAGGCTAGGCACCTGCTTGTGGTAAGCGAGGGCAGTGTTAGGGCTGAGCCCCGGTCTCCTGATGCAGCCCGAGGCCCTTTGGATCACACGGCCTCTGCCCACTGGCCACATCTGTGCCGAGTTCCTCCACAAGTTCCCGGCAGAAACAGTCCTCGGGGGGTCCAGATGAGCACCTGGGGGCCCACCCTCTGCTCCTGCACCCCCATACCTGGCTGGCATCGCTCAGACAGTTGCTGCTGCTGCTGAGCTGGGTGGGCGTGGCATTGATGGAGGCGAGGGCCATGGGCTGCTGGGCCAGGAAGGTGGGCGAGGGCTGGATCAGGGGCGGTGTGTGTCCGAAGGCCGAACCCAGGCTCCTCTGCTGGCTCAGGATCTGCTGGTAGGCCACCGGGTTGAGGGGGTGGGGGAAGGTAAAGGCTGGGCTGCAAAGAAGAGCAGACAAGGTCATGGAGCAGCCTTCGTTCCTGGCAAACCGGCCCTCAGGAGCTGCCAGGCTCCATCTTGCCCCCACATCCTGGCCCTTCACGCCTGAGAGGCAGCTCTGCGTCACTGCTCCTGACTATCTGAACCCCATTCAGCCCCAAAGCTAGTTCGAATGTCCCCTTGTCCAGGAAGTGTGGCCCGAGCCGTCCAGCTCACACCAGCCTCTCTCCTCCGTAACTTCTACTACACTTCTAGGGCCCTACTGTGCCACTTGCATATGAGCCACCCTCTCCAGAACAGGATCCTGAGGAAATAAGGGTGACCTCTGAGGCTAAGCCATAAATACACTGTGGCTTCCTCTTTGCTCTCTCTCGGATCACTTGCTCTGGGGTCACGGGGAGGGGAAGCCAGCTGCCATGTTGTGAGGATGCTCAAGCAGCCCTGTGGAGAGGCTCCCGCAGGAGAAACTAAAGCTCCTGCCAACAGCCGTGTGAGTGAGCCAACTTGGAAACAGATCCCAGGCCTGGTCAAGTCTCCAGGTGACCACGGCCCTGGCTGACATCTTGACTGCAGCCTCATGGACGCAGGGCTAAGCCAGTCTCACCGTCCTGGCCCTCAGACATGGTGAGAGATAATAAATGCTTATCGTTGTTTTAAACTGCTAAGTTTGGGAGTAATTTGTCATACAGCAAAAGATAACTAACATCCTTGTTATCACTTCTATCTCTGGGTCCCCGGGCCGAGCTCTCCTGACATTCCTAACGCCTCCTGGCCCTTCAGGAGGGTCGGGGAAGAACATGTCTTCAGTCAAGTTGGTTGGGGTCTCAGTCCTTAGAGCAGTCAAGGGCTGCACAGGGGGGACTAAGGTGTCCATGAGGTTGGCTGTGCCACGCCGTGACCACAGTGGGGGCCTGCTGCCAGCCCAGAGACTTGTGTGGCCCAAGTCCGTGTCATGCCTCCTGTGGCCCCCGCTGCTGGTCAACGGCCTGGCTGCTCCAGGACACCTGCTGAAATACCAGGAAAGTCACCTTTGATTTCATGATTGAACCTTTTGTGACAGGCCTGGTAAACACTACTCCTCACATCAGAAATTGTGTTTGGAGGATAAATAGCAAGCACATGAAGACGTTCTCAATGTTGGCACATTTCAACTTCACCATTATTGGTTTTTGAATTCAGGAAAAACTTGCAAGTATGCTGATTCCCAAATGCAACAAGTCCCGTCTTCTCGGATTGAAAGTGCGGACCCTCCCCACTTGGCGCCCAGCCCAGCTCCCAATCCCCAGCCCCCTGCTGGCGGGCCAGGCTCACCTCAGGGCGCCCGCCGACAGGTGCCCGTAGGAGCCGCTGGCCGCTGAGCTGCTGCGCGAGTTGTTGATGTAGGCCACCAGCGAGCTGGGCGAGGTCCGGATCATGCGCTGCAGGTCGAGGCTGGCGTCCGAGAGCGGGGAGATGGACAGCGCACGCTTGCGGCTGAGACGGGGCGTCACCCGCGGGCTGGAGAAACGCGACACTGCGGGACACCCGACCCAGGGCCTGTCAGCCTCACCGCGGTGTTTGTAGGGGGCATGAAAAGGGGGCGGGTGACTGGAAGGCAGGGGACAGGAAGAGCCTGTAAGGATGGCCTAATGGGAATCGCAGCTTGGCCACTTTCCAGCTGCAGGCTCTTGGGCGAGGGACGGAGCCTCTCTCAGCCTCATTTACTCATCTCTTAAATGGGACTGATCCACACAAGGTGTGGGCAGGATTCAGGAAGCACAGGGCAGGTGCTTGAGCAAGTGGATATGAGCCTTGAACACACGACAGCAGCTTTACCATCAGGTATGCAGACACCAGGGCTGGGCCCAGCAATGCTGACAGCACAGCACACGAGCCCTCAGCTTGGTGGCCTCTCCCAAAGGGAACCCACCTGCGAAGCCAGCAGTAGGTCAAGTAATAGGCCATGGCCAGCACCCAAAGCCCCCTCTGCCCCTTCTGGACCCACCCCGAGGGCAGCCACTATCCTGGCTTCCAACACTCAGCTTAGTGTTGCGAGTTTTGAGCATTTTCCTGGTATGCAAATAGAATTATAAATACTCTTTCTTATCCAGCTTCTTTGATCCAACATTATCGGTTTGTGAGATTTCTCCATGCCGTTGAGTGTGGCAATAACTGGCCCTTTTTAATTTGCTGTAGAGAATTCCACCGGGTGGCTACTCCATGGGGAGGACCGTGAAAGGAGTTAAGTGTTCCAAGGTCACGGATCACACTGCAACTAGGATCACCCCAGATGCCCCTTCTTAGGGCACTTGCCAAGCCCCCAGACTCCTAGCACAATGCCTGGGCCTTTGGCTGGTTCTCTGGGGCCTGCTGGGGAGGCTGCCGATGGAGTGGGGAGGTGGTGGGAGCAGCAGTGAGAGGCAGCTTGGCCACACACAGATGACTCTCCAACTCTGAGCCCTTTCAGTCCTGGAGTCGCCTGAGGCTTGGAAAGCCTGTTGCCTTAAACACACGCGCATACACCACCCCCCACCCCCCGACATGCACACACACACACACAAGCACACCACCCCACATGCACACACACGTACACCCCACACACATGTACCCCCCCTACATGCACTCATGCACACACACTGCACCCGCCTATCTGACAGCCCCTTGGACGTGCTCTCAGCCCTCCCCGACTCATACATATGGATCCGTGGGAGCGGGAGAGGGCCTGCCCCAGACCGCGCTCCCTGCGCCCAGGGCCACGGGCTCTCCCGCCATGGCTCCAGACTGCTCCTCCCCACGGTCCCTCCTCCCTGATCAGGGCTCCAGGTCTTTCCTCTGGACAAACAGTGGCCTCGAAATGGTCTCACGACATCACCGGACAACTCCCCACAGGCCAAGGTTTCTGCCTTGTCCAGACCCTCTCTGAGCCCCCGCTTCCTCTTTGTAACAGGGTCTACTGGTGCCGACCTCCACGGCTGTGGTGAGGAGTAATTCGGTGGCATATGGGACATGCCTTGCACACGGCCATGGCACATAAACGCTCTGCTGGGACCCTGCATTTCTGGACACCTGCATGGAAAAGGGTCTTCCTGGGCCCCGCTGGCCCTGCCCAGCCGTCCTCCCGTCAGTGGCCCCCGGGTTCCCCTTGGGCTTGGGGTGTTGCCTGTAAACAACTCTAGCGGCTGCTCAAACACCCCCCCACTATACACAGCCCAGCCCAGCCCACCTCCGTGCCTGTGCTGGCTGTTCCTGGGCTCGTGATACCCGCTTTTCTCCCTTCTGCCTGCTCAGACCTGCTCAGGGCTCATAGGTCCCCCTCCTCCAGGGAGATGGCAGGCTGTTCTGGCCACAGCGTTGGTGTGTTGGTGCCTTGTCTCCACAGCTGCAAGGAGCACCGAGGGCAGAAGTGATGGTCTGTGAATCTCTTGAGCCCCGATCCCCAGTACCAGCCAGCCCCTGAGAAAGCTCGGGGCATATCTGGCCTGTGTGACTCCAGAGCCACCTGGGATCCATCTACTGCTGGGCCTGGGGGGTCAACCACCTCTGGCCCTCCCCAGCCCTCCACTCTGGGCTGGCAAACCTGGGAAGCCCTGGGAAGGCCCTTTACCGCTGCGCTACCAGAGAGACATCTCTCTGAGGCTGTGGAGAGGAGAGGGGAGGCCCCAGAATCCTCGGGCTGGAAGGGGATTCCAGGGTTTTCTCTGCTAACTGTCTTCTCCGTGGATGAGAGGCCCTGGGTACAGGGACAGAGACCTGGGCTGGACCAGCAGCCGTGTCGGGTAGGGTGAGGGTGCACACAGGCTGCCTTGGGCTGGTGCCACAGGTCAGCTGCGTGGCCTAGGGCAAATCGCTTAACCGATGGGAGACTGAGAACCTTCGTCAATAACCTGAGCATAAAAACTGATCCCCTGCCAGGGTGGGTGGTCGTGCTCCTACAGGATGACAGACGCTGAGGGGGCCTGTGCACTCGGAAATGCCCTACAACTGTGGTGCCCAGGTGACCGTATACTTTGTTCTCAACAAGAAGGATGAAGTGCTCTTACGCAAGCACCCAGGTGGAGGAAAATCTGAGCTACTCAGAGTATCCTTGTCCTTGAACATCCTCGTCAGCTGAAGTTGTTGTATTTGGCTGACTGTTTATTCTGTTGGGTTCTGAGGCCAGAGGTTCATGCATCATTCAGCAAGCAGAGCTACGGTGGGTACACAGAAGGCGCTTCATAGATGCTTTTGGGGATGCAGGCTCACTCAGCTCACAGAGGACCCCAGGAGTGTGACCAGCACCCAGGCCAGCAGGGGACGCACTCGGATAATGCCACCTTTCTGCTGTGGCAGGAAGGATCCCAGGCCGCATGCCTAGGGGCAGAAGGTGCCTGACCATGTGCTGCCTCAGAGGGGCCCCACGGCGCAGGCCCACGCCCCAGTGGGCACTGAGGCTGCGCCACAATACAACCGCCCTCTCAATGAGCAGACGACAAACAGACGCACCCTGGGGGTCAGCAACTAGAGAAGGTGCATGTCCTTTTGGTGTGGTATTCGATAAGCACCTGCCTCTGAACTCTGGAGTGACTAATAACCCAGTGACAGTGCTATTTAGTGACATTTAGAGCCAGTGTCTCAACTGACAGCTACCACCACCCTCCGAGACGCAAACCCAGCTTTGCAGATGAGAAAACCAGGCGTGGGGAGGGGAGGGACTTGCTCAAGGGCGGGATTTGAACCCAGGTCCGCAGGGGCCCTGATGTGTGGCTTTTCTGGGCCCTCAGAGTCCTCGAGTCTATCTTCAGAGAGGCAGGGAGAGGTGGGGCCAGGAAGACGCGCTCTCATCACAGCTTTTCACTCCCCACTCTGTGCCCCCCAAACCTTTCCAAAGCTGCCCACTGCTATTAGGAAAAAGGCCCAAATCCTCAGCATGGTTTGGTAGCCCTGTGGCCCCTGTCCACATCTCCAGGTTCATCCTGCCCTCGTGCCCTGCTCTGCTCCTTCCAGCTCCCCTCATGTCCCCCACCCTCCTGCACAGGGCCTTTGCACATACAGCTTCCTCTGTCTACAGTGCTCTTCCCTCCTCTCTGTGCTCAGATCTCAGCCAGATCATCGCCTTCTGGGAAACCATGCCTGACCTCCTCGATGTGGGCAGGTCCCATGGCATGCTCTCCAGCGCTGCGGTCCCCTCTCTCCAAACAGGTGTCCCACCATGAGTGCGCATCCACCTGTGTGGCTAGCCAGTCAGTTCTGTCTCTCCCACCTTCAGGAATAAGGGACTTGGGTCTTTTCCCCTCACCATTGTATCCCAACCCTCGAATACGGCTGGCTCGGTGGTGAGGCCAAGGTGGGAGATGCTCAGTGCTGAGCAACCAGCGCAGGCGCGGGGCGGTGAGGGAGGCAGAACCACAGGCCCCGAAAGTCCGCATCGCGTGAACGCCCCGCAGTGGCTGGGGACTGTTCTAAGCACTTTAAAGTATTAAGCAGTTTAACCTTCACAACTGTGCTACGAGGAAGGGAGAATTATTATCCATTTTACAAACGACAGAATGAGTAGCTGGCCCAAGGCCATAGAGCCAGAGGAATTGTAGAAAAGGACTGGGAGGCAGGCAGACGACCAGCAAAATGACCCCCCCCCACCACGGCCTCTGCTCAGGGCGGGCAGGGAAGCACCTCGGGGAGGGCTCTCCCGGAGGGGCAGGGGCTGGGGCAGACACACACACACACACACACACACATACACGCACCATGGGGGGCACACAGCCTGTGCCGGCCGGCCACCCTGAGCCTGATGCTGAGTGGCTGCCTTGGGGCACGTGATTCAGGCTCCTGGAGCCTCTCTCTGCCCGTCTGTACAAGGGGGCAGCGTGGCTTGGCCTCAACACAGGACACAGGAGAGCACCGAGGATGGTGCCTAAAACCTAGCAGCCCTTCCAAACGAGACTGTGAACGGATACAGCCCTCTAGGGCTAAGAGGACCATTCTGACAGGCAGGTGAGCCCAGGGCAATAACGGAGCCGGGGACCGCAAGTCGAGAAAAGAGGACCGGGCCACACAGGAGGACGTCTGTCACCGACAGTCAGTCAGCCCACTCGCCCGTCCTCCACGCTTCTCGGTTCTTATCTGCTGAGTTCACTCCTCGCCAATCCTCACTCAAAGGAAGACCCAAAAGCGAATCTCCCAAAAGACGCCTGTTACTTACGAACTGAGTGGAAAACAGGGAAATAAAAGGGAGAAAAAGATGTAACATCACGTAAAGTAAGAAATACACTTCGTAACATTTTTAAAAAAAGGTTTTACTGCTAATGTTTGGATTCCCACCCTCTCGCACGCCCCTAACAAGAGGAAACAGGCCAAATCTGACAGTGATATTCATCTCTGTTATTCCCACCCCTCAAGGGAAATATGTTTATTAATGTGCCTCTTCCCTTGATAAATTACTAAATAGAAAGAAAAGTCTGGCACTCATTTCCCGTGGCTTCTGCTGTGATTTATGACGAGGGGCTGGAGGAGCTGTCGCATCCATTCCTCTGTGGATGCGTCTGTTCTGATGTCCGA